GCTCAAATGCAGCCCCTTGAGGACTGCATCAATAACCTCGCTTTCGGGCTGACAGCTGTTGGCAAGTGCAGGCGCGCAGGTTATTTTAGAGTGTTTCTCTCTCTCTCTCACACACACATAGCGAGCGAACTTGTGGAAAGAACTTTGGGGAAAACTGTAGTAAAAAATGCCTCGTTGTTTCACAACGACGCAACTATTTTGGTGCTGGCCGAACAACCGTGTAGCCGCTCTCATCCGCTGCAAGTTCGCTACTGCTTCTTACCGGCGCATATGTTGGTGCGCCCTCTTGGAAACAGTGTGCTCATATAGATTAGTAAGATACTGGCAGGCATAGACTGGATTACAACAGCGATAACTATATTCGACAAGCTTCCACAACCCAGAGTGCTTCTCGTGCCATGATGATGACGTGAAGAAATCTGAATTTCAAAAGGACATGCCTGGACAAGAAACGTTTCGTCTGCCTAATCCTGCGTCTTTTTAGGACCAACTGTGAATCATCATCAGATGAGCCTTCGGAACCACTTAGGTCGCTGCTCGATACGGCCGCAAGGCAAACAATACGAAGCTGTTGCCGGTCCCTGGAACAGAGCCATGCAATACATTTGTGCGAAGAACCAATATGCAAGTTTGCCGGGAAATGAAACGAACGTATGCACATCCACAGATTTCTTTTCACCGCTGGCGGCATTGTCTCGCTCGTTGACACTATTGAGCTCAATAGATTCAACATTGTCATTTCTCTGCAAAAAACACTTCGCTGCACTCACATTTTGACCAAATACCGTATTATTCTAAAGAAACAGGCAGTGCCCGACATCCCTGCCATTCATGCATTGAGCAGTGCTGCATTACCTAGCAGCCAGCTATGCGCCTTTCCACTATCTTCATTCTTGCGGACCCGAACGTCAGCCGTTCCTCGGCACTCGTGCAGCCTTCCAGTTCGCTAAACAGTGCCCAGTCAATGCTTCCAGCAGGAGATCTGCTGGAAACTATCTGTACAGAAGTCCGTAAATTAGTCAAATGCGTACGCGATCAGTAACTGCGCGACAATAAAATGCCATTCAGTGCACTACAAGATCGTACAGTGAGCAGAAGCTCCCACCATCCAGTAGCGAATTTTGCCGTTAAAAACATGCTCATATCAAACTCCCGACAGAGGAGGATGAACGATGCGTGACTGGTCAGTGTCTTGTGCCGAATGGCGAGATGCAGGCTCCATCCCTTTGGTGCCAGGTGAATCACTCTAGTTCGGCAAGATTATGGTGGTTTGCAAAGCTGTAAATTTAAGGGGCAATAATAAACACTCGCTTGCAACAGACTGTCATAAGTTCTTTGCGGAACGAATTTTTTTTTTTTTTTTT